ACGAGAGAGGCTGGACAGACCTCCCCTCGCAGGGCCTGCCCCCGCCTCTGGTCAACTTCCTTTCAGACTCAAGATGCAGGACGCATTCCCACTGTCCTGGGTCACCAGTCCCAGCAGCCTTGAAAAATCTACACTAAGAGACAATGTCGTTCACCTCACTGAGCCTGTTTCCTCTCCTGCTGCTGTCACAGCCCTGTCTCTGAGCTGTCCACACGCACTGGAGTGTGCAATCACCTCCTCCCCGAGGCCCAGGGCTGTGGGTTTGGGCTGCGCTCCCCTTTGCATGGTCCTCAGGTATCCTAGACACAATTCTGATGGCAGCCAGCCCCTGGGACCCTCGCTGAACCCAATGCCATTCTGGTACCTCCAGACCTTCCACCCACTCTGAAAACCTGCAGAGACCCTGGATGGAAATTAAATTCTGGAGCCAAACTGCCCTACCTGCCGCCTGTGAGCTTTGTGGGCCTGGGTAGTCCGTGCCTCAGTCTCCCCATCTGTGGAATGGGGCTGCCATAGAACGTATCTCACAGGCGGGGATAAGAAGCACACAATTTCGTGTCTGAATGAACTCAGGACAGTGTCTGGGTTGCAGTAATTACTGTAAGTGAGTCTGTCAAATTCTACTTAAAACAGGACCTGCTTAAATTCATCAAATAACCACCACCATGCACAGCAGAGATCTCTCTAGAAGAAACATGTCCATGCAAACACTTGTGCAGGTGAAAACAACTTGTATGCTCATCAAAATGTGATATATTTCTGCAATGAAATATTACTTGGCCATGAAAAGGAACTCAGTACCCATTCACGCTACAATGAACCTTGAAAATGTAAAGTTCACAGTAGATACTTACCCCCAATGTTCACTGACATATAAACTCAGCTTGTTATGTGTCAGCCATACCTCAATAAAGTGGTTTTTTAAAAAGGCTATGCTGGGGCTTGTGGAGTGGCCCAAGTGGTAGAGCACTTGCCTAGCAAGCATAAGGCTCTGAGTTCAAACCCCAGTACCTTCAAAGAAAGAAATTAAAAATAAAAAAAGGCTATACTGGCCAGGCACAGTTGATCACACCTGTAATCCCAGTTCTTGGGGAGGCAGAGGTAGGACAATCCAGTCCAAGGCCAGCCTTGGGCAAAAGCATGAAACCCTATCGGGGAAAATAAATACAGCCGAAAGGACTGTGGGAGCAGCTGAAGCAGCAGTGTGATTGCCTAGCAAACATCAGGTCCTGAGTTCAAACCCTAGTACTGCCCCAAACAAAATGACACTAAATGGGAGAAGTCAGACGCAGAGTATGTACCGTAAGAGGCCATCTGTGTGCAATGTCCAGAAAGGCCGAGTCCACAGCCACAGAAGGTAGATGAGTGGTTGGGGATGGGGCAGCAAACAGACTGTGGTGCTGGGTATGATGATCCACACCTGTAATCCCAGGGCTCGAGAGAGGTGAGGCAGGAGAATCTCAAAGGTAGCTACATGGCGAGAGCCACACTCAAAACATTAAGTAAAGAAATAAAACATGATAGAATGTGTAAGTGGTGACACTTGTCACCAACAAATCTACTGAAAGTAATTTAAATGGATGAAGTGACTTATGTCCCAAGAAAGCTGTCGAGGCGGTAAGTTCTGGTGAGCCCGGGCTGTCTTTCGTGACTATCAACCTGCAAGGCCATGTCCAGGCGCCCGTCCTTCCTTCTCCCCAGGTACCTTCACTACCTCTATTTTACAGGTGAGAAACTGAGGCTCGGAGGAATTAGGGGATATGCTGAGGCTTGGGGCAGGGTGGGTCTGGCTCTTAACCGGCACCCATTTGGGAAAGAAATAGACAATCCACCCAGAAGACAAGCCCCTCACACACATTCTAGGACCAGCACTGAAAGGGACGCAGACCCTCCCAGCCTTGGAGCCCACCGCCATCTCTATTGCTGTGAGAGTCTCTCTGTTTACCAGGGTGATATCCACCCATCATTCAACAGCTCGCCAGCTAGAAAGCAGGCAGACAGCCGCATGGTGGTGCATGCCTATAATCCCAGCTACTCAGGGGGCAGACACAGGAGGATCTCGAGTTCGAGGCCAGCCCAGGCAAAGTTAGTGAAACCTTATCTCAAAGAATACATATTTAAACAGAAGGACTGGACCTGAGCTCTGGCCTAGCATGTGGGAGGCCTTGGCTTCCATCCTCAGTGGGGACAGGGGGACAGGCAGCAGGCAGAGCCTCTGCAACCCCTTCAGAAGCAGACGCACAGCAGGGATTTGGACAGAGGTCCATTCATTTGATTCACTTTTGAAGTGAAAGAGGAAAAAAATTAAAAAACAACTTAAAGCAGGGTCTAGAAAGCCTCCCCAAGCTCGATTTCAGCTGTTCGTGTCACTGCTGGGGGACTTTTGAAGATGGAGGGGCGTTTTCCTTCTTGAGCCAGTTCTGTTAAATGAGGGTGGGGGAAAAGCCAGTTCTGACACTCCCTGACCGACAGACACAGTGAAAACAGCTGAGTCCCCCCGAACTTCCGGCCTCAGACCCCACCCAGGAGAAGTGTTCAGCTGAGAAAGAAGAGCAACCCCAGGGCAGAGAACGCCTTTGTGCTCCAGGCCACAGTTATGTGGGCACAATAGCGTTTTGTAAACAGTCGGCAAAGTGCCTTTGTCTGCTGTGTTTCCCAGCTTGGGACCAGTTCACAAAGACAGTGTGGAAGATAAGTCATGGTTGTGACAGTCCCTTTGAAAAACACAAACGACTGAAATTAGTGCAGGGACAGATAACTATTTGAAAACTTTGCTTTCACATCCACCCTGCACGGACTCCTAGTGAGAACACCTGCTTCTCACTTGCAAAGCCGGCGCTCTGCCGCTTGAGCCACACTCCAGTCCATTTTGCTCTGGTTATTTTGGAGATGGGATCTTATGAACTGTTATCTGGGGCTGGCCTTGAACCTTGGTCCTCCTGATCTCTGCCTCCCAAGTAACCAGGATTACAGGCTTGAGCCACCAGTGCCCGGCTGATGCAGTCCTAAGTATGCACGGGTGGACCTGTTGTATTTTAAAGTGCTACAGTCGTAAATAGTTTTAGGGCCCTAAAACATGCTAAATTAGGTTTACATTTATTAAATACATGCGGTAACTTCTTTTCCACTCTGTAGTCACGTGTCCCAGCTTCATGGCCGAGAACCATGGGCTCCCAGACTGTTCCAGAAGGCGAAGACAGGCCCTGTCTTCTATGGATGAATGAGTGAGTTCCTGACTCTTGGAATATGTGTGCCGCCCAGTGTTAGACTGAGGATGGTCATTTAGAGTTACCTTCATTTATACACACACAGCCACTTTTAACCTCATGACGACCACCCCCCATTTCACAAACAAAGAAACCGAGGCTCAGAGAAATTCAGTTTCCAATGACCCACAGCCAGAGCAGCAGGGACCCAGTGCTTCTGATGCCACATGGCTGGGTCCCTTCATCACCCCCTGCAGTCCCACCCCCATTACAAATGAGGAAAGTCCCACAGCAATGACAACGCCACCAAGAGTAATAGGAGTCAGACCTCACGGAGCAGGTCATAGCCTGGGACCCATGCTGGGAGCTTTGCAGGAATGCACTCATTTCATCCCCAGCACTGCCCAGATTTGGGAACCAGGTGGTTTTAGAGATGGGGATGGGGCTGGGGACGTGGCTCAAGTGGTAGAGTGCTGGCCTAGCAAGTGCAACCCTAGAGAGGGAGTAAGATTGAGAGAGAGAAAGAGAGAGAGAGAGAGAGATGAGGAGTACAGACTCAGCGGTGCCCCAGGTCTCCCAGCTAATCACTGCAGAGCTGTCGTAGGACCACCTGCCTCTAACTTTAGTGTGTCTTGCAATCCTCTATCCAACTATAAACACGTATGGGTGAGGATTCATGGGATAGGACTGACAGGATGCCCGCCCAGAGCTGGGATCCGATGCCAGTCCTTGGGAGGAAGGCTAGGGTTGGCAGCCAGAGTGGGGCAGGGCAGAGGGGGTGGATGCTGGTGCTTCTGACACTTTCATATAATCATTTGTAAGAACTTGTGTAAGAACAGAGGGTGACGTATGTGGCAGACACCTACTGTGTGCCAGGAACACACCCAGGGCACCTGGTTTACTCCTCACTGTGACCTCAGAGCCTTGCCCCCATTTTTCCAAGCAGGGACAGGAAGAGCCAAGAGGCAGAATGATGGAACGAAGAAGGAATCCCAGGTCTGCCTGTCCCCAGCACCTGCCCCAGAATGTCAAGAGCACTGACCCAGGAGGCCAGGAACCTGGGAGCCAGTTCCAGGTCCCCAACTGACTTGCCACACAACACCAATGTGTTGCATCACTACTCTGGGTCTATCCTCACACCCCAGTGCCCAGACCCTTCCTACCTGCTCACACCCTCTCCTCTCCTATCTCAGCTTCCTTGAAGGGGAGTGGAAGGGGTCTGTGAGAGGAAGGAGGACCCCAGAGGTGTCATAGTTAACACTGAGGCTCTAGAGTCCCCTCTGCGTGGATCTGGGCCTTGACTCCAGCTCTGCCTAGGAACAGATCTTGGGGCTATCCATCACCTGTGCAAACCTCAGTTTAGTGGAGGTGAAATGGAACTGACTGATGAATCAAAGACAGTGTCAGCGCTGGAGATGGACAATGAGTGACAGCCGTCCCCATCAGCACCCCACTTCCCATTTTTGTTATCATCACCTTCACGATGACACAAAAGCACAACAGTCGTTCGGCCACTGACACTCTTGTTCTCTAGCAGCATAGTCTAAGGTACAGCAAGGGGCAGACGAACAGAACTTGTGTTCTGTCACTAGGCAGGGATTACAGAAGTTCTGTCACAGATGAGAGGGGACAGCCAGGCCCAGGGGTCACCAGTTAGAAGTTTGACCACCAGGGCAGCTGAATAGCTCAATAATAATTCTTCCCCATCTGGGCACCCGAGGGTTTCCCACCATGGCTGACCTCCTGAGTTCTCCAACTGTCACTCAAGGGGGCGGGGAATCAGGGCTCACTCACCAGCATGACCAGCTCGAAGGGGTACTTGTAGACACGGACAGGAGACTGGTACTTCTGCACCATGCTGGCACTCAGAAGTCCCCAGGTGGGGAAGTACTGAGCCTGAGGTGAGAGGTGACTGTGAGGTGGTGGCTCCCTCCACATGAAGCAGAGACAGGGAGCAGGTGGCCCCTCTGACCCACCCATACTTCTCCCCATCCCTCAAACTGAGGGGGCTGCTATGATCCCCAAACCAATCTGGGCCAAGCCTCAATCACCTTTCTTGTCCACTACTCCACTGCCCAGGCCACAGTCACCTCTCCAAGAACAGTCAGGACCCCCAAACATTCCTGTCCCCACCCCTTCTCCCCGAGGACCCTCAGAAGCACCCCGCACGCCACACACACACACACACACGTGCAATTCTTACACTCCAACAATTCTCTTCTTGCATGCTCCCCAAGAAGCATGGTACTGATAGTCCTCCCAAGTATTCTGACACCTGCTGTCCCACTTTCCTCTAAGCTGCCCCCACACACAGCATTCGCCAAATTCCCTGCCCTCCCAGCCACACACGCAGGAGTGCATGACTGCGCTCCCACACAGGACGGCCTTGCACACGCACCCTACTTCGCACACACTTGCTCCCTGCAGCAAACACCTACTCAACTCCACGCACACTATTCTCCTGGTGCGCACACACGCATGCACACCCACACAGGCATGCACACACGCGTGCACGCACAGGTCCCCGTAACTCCGCTCACCCTCGCCCTCGGAGCCTCTGGGGACACAGTCGGGGCAGTGCCCTGGGCGATCGCCTGACCCGGGAGCGGAGCTTGCGGGGGTGGGGAGGTGGGGCAGCGGTCTCCGGGCTCGAAGCGCAGCGCCTGGGGCGGAGTCCGACCGCGGCTGTTCGGCCTGGGGCGTTCGGCCCGCACACCCGGCGGCTGGGCCAGCAGGGGAGGGACCCAAAGGGCGGGAGCGAGAGCTGAAGCGTCCAGGACCGGGGACAGCGGAGCTCCTGGAGCCGCCTACGCCCCCTACCAAGGCCCCGCCCAGATCTAACTCTGCCCTCTGATTGGCCCCTCCCAAACCTGGTCACGCCCCATTTTGACTCCGCCCCTGTGCTAGCCACACCCCCTCGTTTTGCATGTTCCTTGTTTGACCACGCCCTCAACACAGGCGTTCCTCCACGCCTCCTGCAGGCCCCGCCCCACGCTGACCACGCCCCTAGAGCTCTCGCCCCGCCCCTCCTGGTGCGATTGACCTCGGGCATTCAGCACAGTGTGCAATCTTCCCTAGCTTACATTAACCTCGCCCTTGACCCGCTGCACTTGGCCTTGAATCCTGCTCCTCTACCTGGCCGCGCCCAGAGTCCGCCCTAGCCCTGTCCTAAGTCCTCTCCAGTGCATCGTTCATTCACTCTGGGCGCTGGAGAGTCACCTGTAAACCCAAAAAAGAAGATCCTTGCCCGCGTGGAGTTTACATTCTTCTGGGGGAGACAGATATTAAATAAATAAGGCAAATATATAGTTTAAGGGATGGTGAAAAAGGCCAAAGAGAGGAAAGTAAGCAGAAAAGAGGTTCAAGACGCCATCAGGGAGAGGGTACAATTTCAAACAGGGGACACAGAGCCTCCCCAGGAGGGTGGCATTTGCCCACGATCCTTATTTTAACTCACATCCAAACCCTGCCAGCCTTCCCAGGGTCTCTGGGCTGATGGGGGTAGGGCAGTCGTCCCTTTACCCACTCCCCATGTTTTGGACCTGCAAGCTGCTGACTTTGGAGAGCATCGCCACAGGTATTCGTGCATTCATTCATCATTCACCTCGTACCTACTCTGTGCCAGCCCTGCGTGAATTCACCCATTCACGAGGGGCAGTCAGACAGACACCCCTATCCATAGGCATGGACAGAAAGACAGAAAGCCCTCTGATCTACGTCAAATATGTCATTGCACCTGGCAGGAACCAGGTCCTGTCTGCACCTTTCCTAGCCTGCATCACACTCACTCTTGTGATCGTGCGTTCATTTTATTTATTTGAGGGTTTCTGGCCGCGAACAAACGAGCTCCCTGAAGGCAGGACCATGGCTGCCTTCTCCTCCTGCCTCCGTGTACACAGGATCTAGGGACCCCGCAGGCAGCAGACGCTCAGTGCGGTAGGGTTTAAGTTATCAAGAGTGGAAACGGGACACACAGTTCTCATCGCTGCCACAAGGGGGCAGCAAAAGACAGTGCATGGCTCCCGGAATAGGCACAGTGGGGAACTGTTGGGGACATGGGTGCAGGGGTGTTTTCGCCCCTGCAGCCAGGCTCTACCCACGTATCAGCGTGAGACTCACAGTGACCGTTAACACTGGCAGCAGATGTTGCCAGGATGAAAGGGACGTCACACCTCTTCCGCACCCAACCTTGAGAGGGTGGGCAGCTGGGCACAGAGGGGGAGTGAGAACTTGGCTCCCTCCTGCAGCCCACCCACCACCGATCTCCTGTTCTCAGCCCTGTCTACTACTAACGATCCCGCCACCTGTTGACAGTCAGTGCGCTTACTGCTCCAGGCCTCTTTCTAAAGATGCACTTCATCCCCCAAACAATCCCTGTAGTGATGACAATATTTTGGGAAGAGGTGTTGGTTGTGCAACACTGTAAATGTCCTAAATCCCACCAAATTGTCCTGCTTGCCATCAATTGTATGTTCTGTGACTTTCACACACACACACACACACACACACACACACACAAAACCTTTATAATTTCCTATTTTACAGGTAAGGAATCTGTAGTACTGCAGCTGGGGGGAGGGGCAAAGCCAGTGATGTCTCCCAGCCTTTTTTGTGGTAAAAAACACACAAGCCAGGCGTGGTGGCTCACACTGTCATCCTAGCTACTGGGAAGGCTGATATTGGGAGGATGGCAAAAAAATTTGTGAGATCCCTTCTCAATGGGAAGCAAGACTGTATTTCCAAAATAAGGAGGAGTGGCTCAAGTGGTAGAGCACCTGCCTAGCAAGCACAAAGCCCTGAGTTCAAAGTCCAGTAATGCCAAAAATAAATAAATAATACACACAGCATAAAAGCTGCCATTCTAACCATTCCTCAGGGTGCAGTTCAGTGGTTCTTAGTACATTCACAAGGCTATGCAGTCTCCATGACTGTTCTCAGAATAGTCTCATTCCCCCACCAGGAAATCGCACCCATTAGAAGGTCTCACCTCCTTCCTGCCCCTCCTGGCCTCAGCAACCACTCATCTGCTTGCTGGAGGCTGTCTCACTTGTCCCCAACTGCCTCTTAATGGCACTCTTTTTCCTGGATCCTCAGACCATAGCCCAGGGGCCTCCTGGGTTTGGGGACCTCCAGGAAGGGAAGTCAAGGTCATGAGGAGGATTGGTATGTACAGGTGTGCAGGTTGTGCACTGCACACCTCCAGGCAGCACTCCTGGGTGGGGGCCGGAGCCCGTGGAAGTCTGACCCAGGGGGCTGCACAGCCATGCCCTAACACACCTTGACCCCAGCCCGTCCCCAAAGACTTCCAGACCCCACCAAGTGCTGCCTGTGGGCCAAAGGTCACATCCAAATATGGGTAAAAGGCTGTGCAGAGAGAGCTTAGTGGACAGATGAGGGCAAAGGGAGGATGGGGTGTTGGTGAGGTGCCATGGGAGGGGCTGGGTGGCTCAGCGATCAGTGTGGGACTCAGAACAACCCACTGGGAGGTCTGGCCCTGCTGCTCCCAGCTGTGTGGCCACAGTGGAAATGGAGTCACATGGAATATTACTCAGCCTTGAAAAGTAATGACACATGCTGACATGTGCGTGAACCTGGGGGACTTCATAATGAGTGAAAGAAGCCAGGCTCATTCTACATGCATGAGGTCCCCAAGTCACAAGACTCAGAGATGGAAAGTTGAATGATGGGTGCCAAGGAGGCAGAGGGAGTGGATTAACCTTCCAAGCTGAGGCACAGTGTGACGGCTGTACAGATGGAAGTTCTGGCTGGCGGTGTGGGTGCACAAAAATGCAAAAGTGCTTCAAGCCACTGAGCAGCACTCTTAAAGTGGTTAAGTGGTGCCTGGTGTGGTGGTGCGTGCCCTCAATCATAGCACTTGGGAGGCTGAGGCAGGAGGATGGAGAGTTCAAGGCCAGCCAGGACTGCTTAGTGCATCACAATTTTAGGTTATGACATTCTACCTGGAAAAGGCAAAATGCTTTATAACACCTGCAGCCACTGGTGGAGCCGCTCAAGTGTAGAGTGCCTGCCTAGCAAGCATGAGACCAAGTTCAAACCCTAGGACAAGGTCAGGGGCTAACCCTGCAGGCGATGGTGGTCCACTAAAGATGTCTATAGATGGTTATGTGATCAGCATGGCTCAGAGGGAGGCACCTGTTCCATGGGACTTAAGGGTGGCCACTGGTGTCTCTGATGGTGGCCGCAGTTAAGGACTGTGTTCAGTTGGTTTTGTTGAGTTATGATCCCCACGCCACATAATCTGCCCACTCCAAAAGGTTTCTAATTACCCCAGTCAATGGTTTTTAGTGTATTTGCACAGTTGCACAAGCATTGCCAGGACTGTAGAACCCTTTCTCCCTCCTCCCTTCTTCCCTCCTCCTTTCCTCCCTCCTTCCTTCCTTCCTTCCTTCCCTTCTTCCCTCCCTCCCTCCCTCCTTCCTTCCCTTCTTCCCTCCTTCCCTCCTTCCCTCCCTCCTTCCTTCCTTCCCTCCCTCCCTCCTTCCCTCCCTCCTTCCCTCCCTCCTTCCTTCCTTTCCTTCCCTCCCTCCCTCCCTCCCTCCCCCTCCTTCCTTCCTTCTTCCCTTCTTCCCCTTCCTCCCTCCTTCCCTCCCTCCCTCTCCTCCCTCTCTTCCTCCTTCCCTCCTCCCTCCCTCCTCCTTCTCTCCCCCCTCCCTCCCTCCCTCCTTCCCCTCCTCCTTTTCTCCCTCCCTCCTTCTCCTCCTCCTTCCCTCCCTCCTTCCCTCCCTCCTCCTCCCTCCTTCCCTCCCTCCTCCCTCCCTCCTCTCTCCCCCCTCCCTCCCTCCCTCCTTCCCTCCCTCCTTTTCTCCCTCCCTCCTTCTCTCCCTCCTTCCCTCCCTCCTTCCTTCCCTCCCTCCTTCCCTCTTCCCTCCCTCCCTCCCTCCCTCCTTCCCTCCTTCCTTCCTTCCCTCCTCCTCCTCCCTCCTTCTCTCCCTCCTTCCCTCCCTCCTCCCTCTCCTCTCCTCCCTCCCCTTCCCTCCCTCCCTCCCTCCCTCCCTTCCCTCCCTCCTTCCTCCCTCCCTCCCTCCCTCCTTCCCTTCCCTCCCTCCTTCCCTCCCTCCTCCTCCCTCCCTCTCCTTCCTTCCCTCCTTCTCTCCCTCCTTCCTTCTTATTTTTGCAGTGCTGGGGACAGAACCCCAGGCAGGCAAGCCTCTGCCATTGAGCTGCACCCTAGTCCTTCGTTCCCCCACTGGTCTGAGTAACATGAACTGACTGGACAGTCACAGATCCTTCATCCAGGCCTCTACCTCTGGGCATCAGAGTTGATGGTGCTGCTCTCACAAGGTGGAGAAGAAGCATCTGGAAAGGGGAGAAGCCAGACAGAGACCCCCACCAGGGAAGAGCCTGGGGCCTGGGCTGAAAGGCCAGAGGAGCACAGAGCTGGTTCTTGTCTCCCATGTGTCCTGGTCAGTTTCAAATCTGGATCCCCCAATTCTCTTGTTTTTGAAGATGTCCCAAGAGGTGCAGAAGCAGGGAGCACCTTGGGGGCAGCCTATTGGCCTTCTAGGGACCACAGCACACTGCTCCCTTCCCCCACCCAGACCTCCCCCACACACACTTGGCATGTGTCTACAGTGGAG